ATTTCTGGAGAACAGCTTTGCTGATGGATTCCTTCTCAGGAGTCCTGAATGAAGACAAGTGCAGGCAATACAACATTGCTGGATCAGTATTGCTGGCAACATAGCAGGTCATTATTACAAAGTCATATAACTAGACATGTTCTTTCCCCAGACATTGATCTCATATCTCCTTTGAGTCTGTAGGTGTGCAAGAGCAGGAAAATGTAGTTTCCTGTATATACAGAAGGGAGAAGGTTTGCAAAAAGAAGAGAAGTTTTAGAAAACTAATTTTCCCCTTCTCTCTGAGGCCTGAAATGTTGTGTACTCTTGCTGAAGAAGGGGTGAGAACTAAGAATAGGGCCTGCTGGGAAGAAGTGACTCCAGCTGGGGTTCTACCCTCCCCTTTGCATTTCTGCAGACTTAAGATATAATAGACCATGTGCCAGAATCTCTGCACATCCAAAGTCACAATTACAGGGAACAAAGAGAAGAAACCCAATCAGAAATAGGAGATGCCATTTTGTCCTAGGCTTTAAGGATCACTGATCAATAAAAACTTTCCTAGGGCGTACACTACACAGAGAGCTTCACCTGAAGTGTTCATAGGAGAACTCCTCCAGGGTGTAAGGCTTCACTTTGACATCCTCTTCATCAGGTTCCTCCATGAAGGAGTTCTGTGAAGCTGTCCTCCTCTGGTCTGGAGACATCATCAGCAAACTCTGCAATGACACAGCCACATAGAGATGTCACATGGGGACAGGTCTCTGCACAGGTTGTCGGGTGTTACTTAGCATATGTGCACAGGTAATGCTCTGTGCTGCCCAAGACCTTCTGTCCCCAAAGCAGCATCTCCAGAGACTCAAGAAAGACCTGGGAACAGTTAAGAGCAATTTCCACAGACTCAACAGCAGTACACATCAAAATGTGTGTGACTTTCCGAAGCACGACACATTTTACATGCACCTGTTTATCACCAGTGTATTTTGTCTCCAGTTTTTCTGCTTTTTACCTGTTAGCACAGTATCCAACATACTGAATCGCCAAAACTGAAGACAAAATTGTTAGCAGAGGGATCAATGGCAAACCTTGACTCCCTCAAAGATCATATTCTTTTAAAGTAGCTTGCTGCACTCAGAGCTTCCCCTGAGGCATAATGTGATCACCACTCAACCCAGTGTGAATGCAGGGAAATTCAACTGCACACCCATATCCACTAATTGCTACCAGTTCCAGGCACTGAAATCTCCCATGGTGAACAAACTGGGTGTTTTTTAAAAAGTTGTTGCTTTTGTGCAATTGCAGCCTTGTCCTTAGAGTCTGGGCTAGGTTTAGGTTTGTTTTCAGACAGGATAGAATGAAGGGCTTTGTTTCAATGGGAGATATAGAACTTGTCTGAGTTTGGAGGAAGAGTTATCTTCCAGCTATAAATTTAATCATATTTAACACTGTTATTATCATTTATCTTCCAGTCTCTTCACAGAGAATGCTTAGCTTTTCTTACCAGCACTTGACTAGAGGGTTTTGTGAGAGAAGGAATGATGTAGATGTCTTCCAAAAATACATTCCCTGTTTTGCCTGTCCTTTCATTCTGGGCATGGATCCAGCCAGAGTCTTCATCCAGCCTTTTGTCTTCGGTGAAGATTAGCAAGTCTCCCTTCTTGAAGGACAGGATCCCAGGGTCTTCTGGAAGACAGAATAAGGGAGTACTGTTCTGGCTTGACAGTCCAAGAAAATGCAAAGGGATTGCAACAGGAAAGACAAGGGAACTGTATTTTTTTGAAGGCCTAAATTCAGTTAGCAATAGAAAGCAATTTCTATAAATAGGGCTAATTATACAGTAAAACTTCAGAGATATCACTTTAGTTTCCTTTGATGGCCTGATTTTGATCCACTCAGGGCAATGGTAAAACTCCATTTGATTCACTTGGATGCTGACTTTGTGTCTAGACTGGCAGCAAAGCATGAAGAGAAACTCAGTAGTTTAAGTAGCTGAAGTTAATGTTTACATCTTAAACCTCTCATGTCTGAGCCAACTGTATTCCACAGAAAATTCCAGTTTACTGCCTCTGTGAAATTCTTCTGTAAAATATTTCCAGGAAGCCCAGACCCAACTTCCTACTATAACCAAGCTGAGTTTTTGGACACTGTACTATCTAAATAAAATATGCAAAGAGGTTGAAGGAGGAAGAAAAGGTGATTTGTATGCAAAGGTACTGAATCCCATTTCCTTGTGCTCTGCATTGCTGTGCTGAGGCATCCCTCCTGGAGCAAAGGGACTCTTGCTGAAGTTCTTCCTGTCCTCTGTGAGCATCTTCAACAATTTAGATTTCTTCCCCACCCTGTAGAAAAGTTGTAAGACTTACCCTGGGATTTTTTCTCTTGCATTGCCACAGCAAATGGTGATCTTTTCTTCAGTCCTTCTAGGAATGTCACCACCAGTTCAGCAATGGCAACGCTGTTTACAGATGTCAGGACAAACTCCTCAGCACGAAGTGTGATGAGTGTGCAACTCTGTCCAAATGACTTCACTGCCCTATGTATTAATGAACAATTGGTTACCAGAGCATCTGAAAAGCATAGAGACCCATCTGCAAACACAGCCAAGGCACCTCTACACCTCCTTGCAGATAACTCCCTTACAGCGAGTATCGGGAGCTCTTAATTTGCCCTCCCATGAACTGGTAGGTGTGAAGGTCGGAAGTGGTTCAGCTTTACTCTGGACTCCATCATGTTTTGTACAAAAGTGCTTTGTTATAGACAAATGAACATCCTTCTTTTGGAGTAACCAGGCAGCTAAGTGAATCTCTGATGGTCCTCACGGGGTTTTTTTTCATGTATGTAAGACCCTTTTCTCTGAGTGACACAGGGATGTGTGCCCTGAGCTAGCCAGTGGTTATCCTCTTTCCCTCGTTATCCCGTTCAGGTCCATGACCTGAGAAGTAAATGAACTCCCAGCATGCACGGCAGACAGTGGCTTAACGATGTCAGTTATTTGGGCTGTTCTTGTCTTTATGCTTATCTGTGCTTCCTTACACCTTTTTGACTGAGGAGGATCACGTTCCATCAGCTGGAAGGATCTAACCATTTCAGTATTTCCTTTATAGGCTTCTCAGAAGCTTTCCCTTTCTGTTTCCCAGACCTAGGCTAAGCCACCTTTCCAGGCACAGATCAAATCACCTAAGGAGATGGCAGAGAAAGTACATGCTTTCTGAGTATGGAAAAGATGCCTTCTGCAGATATTGTCTTTCTGGGGCCTTCACCTGTTGGTGTGGATGCCAGTTATCTCTGGGAAGGTCAGCTCAAGGAGCCGCTTTTCTGACTCATCCAAGAAGCAGATACCTTTCCAATTTATAGCAACAATGAAGTGGTTCTTAGGCAAGCTGGGACCTGAAAATACAGAAAAAGATCCTTATCAATGCTATACAAGTCTTCTTCTATTGATCTTATAGCTGTCCTCTACTTCCCAGGCTCCAGGTATTACCTGAAAACTTAGTGACTTCAAAGAATCGGGAAAAAAGCAAAGGCCAGTGAAAGCGAGCAAAATCTACAAGTTGCTCCTTCACAGTCTGAGAGGAGAGACGGTCCTGTGTGTATGGGGCCTGCAGGATAAAAACACACCCGAGGTTCTCTCAATAAAATGTGGTTTGCATGATCTGCAGACAATAAAGAGCAAGCCTGATCCCAGAGATTCCCAACAACCCTCTGCTGTCACAGGTGCCAAGGCTACCTGGCGTAAGTAAATCAGGAACACTTTCCAGAGGCCCAAGCCACATGCAGCTAAGATTGCCCACAGGCATGCAGATTCCAAATTTCTCCCCAGTCCACACTGACTTACCTGTTTAGAGTCTAACACACTTTGGGTGCCATGGAAATAATTCAGGTAGTCCATTTCTAGATCAAAATCAATATTCCATCCCACATTCATCCTGACTTGGTTGCCTTAAAAGCTAATCTATTCAGAGATTTAAATGTACTTTTTCCATTCTGCCCCCCTGCTGAGTCTTAAATGAAAGAGTGAGTGGAAAGGTTCTCTGCTGCCCCAGCCCTGACAAACTATTTGGGATATACGAACTGAGCTGGGTTTTATTCTTCCCCCTACAGACTATTTGTAAATGGAAATGGTAAAAGAAGCAGAAGCTGGTGCTCAAGAGTGGTTACCCAGCACTGCCAGACAAACCTCTTACCTTAGCATGTGCATAGGTTATAAGGCTCACCCACTTTTCCAGGGGCTTGGACTTCAGCTGTTTCACTGGGATACAGTCATGGAGCACCTTCTGCACAAGTTCATTGTGGATGGAATCTCCAAATTGGATATAACAATATTTTGCACCTATTTCCACCAAATCCTCCTCCTGAAACAATTAATCCATTAAAAGAGGCCTAGAAAGATGTCAAAAAGGCCAGATAGCCTCATTCAACCTTGAAGCCAGTTTAGGAATGGGGTTTTCTCCATTTTTGTCTAGAAAACTCGTAAGAGTCATCCAGTATAAGGAGGGATGAACTTCACACAATCATAGCATCAGAGAAATTATTAGCAAAGATATTTTAAAATAAGACCCAGTTTGCCCCTTTGGACATGCCTCCTGCTGCCACATAAACTGAAAGTTGCAGGGAAGGAAAAAATACTGATTAGGGCTGCCAGTGTGACATCTGGCCCAATCACCTGGACAGGAATTGTTCACTAAGAAAGGAAGGACTGTCCATATCCACTGCAAACTTAGTTCATCTTCATGCTTTTTTTAACGTGGGAAGTGTTAATACAGTTCTGGCTCTTTCAGAGATGAATCGGGAGACCCACCTTCTCACAGCGGTACTCCCCAAACCGGACGCCGCGAATGACTTGGTGGTAAATGAGATCCGTGCTGACAGGATCCTCCTGGGAGTTGTGCCAGGGGGTGAAGATTTCCTTGCGGAAGTAGAGGCGCCAGGGCGCGTGGCGCTCGTGGGTGCCCCGCTCCCTCACCAGCTGCTCACACTGGGAGATGGCATCCAGGACGTGATCCCGGCCCCCGCCCAGCGACCACACCTGCCGAAAAGGGACACTGCATTACTGGCATGCCTGCCCTGGGGCTGAGGGAAGGACAACAGGCAGGAAGCTCCTGGTCTCGAAGCTCCTGGTCTCCCGACAGCAGGAAAACCTCTGAAAAGATAAGCAGGTGGGTGTGCAAGTTGTATGGGGTAAGGGGATGTATCTTTATTAGTCAGTTATGTGACCTGGCAAAGGAAACCCTACAGGGCTGCAGCAGGAATTGCTAAGTGGTGAGCCATCAGAAAGGCAGAATAGGATTATCAGGTCCTGAGATCCAGCTGGGATTCAGAACTGATTTGGTCTGAGTTCAGGACTGGGTTGAGGGTGCTCCAGAAGTCAGGGGGAGTCCTCAGTGAGGCTGGGTGGGCAGCAGCAACTCCACAGAAAGAGAAGGGAGCTTTCATTCTATTTTTCTACACTTTACCTTATCAAACACAGCGATGTAGAGTGAAAAACCAAAGGCATCCTTCAGTTTGGTTTTGTCTGCTATGAACTGACAGATCTCTTTGGCAATGGAAGCAGAGTCTGCAGGGACAGTGATGCTTTGGCCGTTCATGAGGGTGACATTAAACATAATGGGTTTCTTCTGCTTTGTTGCCTGTAAGTCAGAATGAAATGAGAAAAAAATTATGGGCAAACCTCACTTTTCTCTGAAGAATGAAGAAGGCATTTAGATTTGAGCTCCACACACTGTACTACACACTCAACAATCTGAAAGTGAATCTCCAAAACCCACACAGTTTCTTCAATGCACGGTGAGTCTGAAATATAAATTCCATCCCTGGAGCACCACTGGACTCAAGTTCTCTCCTCAGGAGAGGTCATTATCACACAACAGTGTGGACTGATAGACTTTTCATGAGCCATTGTTGTCCTGATGACTTTTGGTAACAGCCTTGCACACATCAGTGGAGAGATGGCCTGAATCAAGTAGTTTGCCCAGGAAGATGTGTGTGAGGCAATAGGGTCACTGAGATTTAGGAAGGAATTGAACTGAGGCTTTTCCTTGAAGAGGGAGTGTGTGACTTACAATTACTAGGATGACATTTAAAGGAAGAGGTGGACAATATAGCCCCATTAAACTCCTCTCCATTTTAAAAGCATAAGCCCTGCTCAGGTTTTTCCAAAAGTGATGGTAAAAGCTTCCCTCAGGAGGTCGTTTCTGGCCTGTGGCTCCTGAGTGGATGGAAGTATCTCCCTTCAGATCATGTGTTGCAGCTTTTAACTTACATCCTCTACTGAACTTAGGCTAACTGAACAGCCAGAAGAGGTGTATCCAAGAAACTGCCCAGGCCAAGGCAGCTGGTTTGCAATCCCCTCGCGCGATCGATTTCCGTGACTGGATTTAGGAAGATCTGTTAGCACAGGTTAGTAAATGCAGAGCAGTATAAAATGTCACAGATGGATATAAGGAGGCAAAGAGGGAGTTGGTACCTGCAGCTCCAGCCAGCTGGGCGGCTCAGTCCGCGCCCCGTTGACGTAGGTGCGTCTGAGGCGCTCGGCACAATAAGGAGCGTAGCCCGCGGGCCCGTGGTGGATGAAATTCAGCAGGTACTGTGTGCACAGAGCATGAGAGGCAGTTAGGAAACACTGATCCTCTTAAAACATCACAAGTTTTTTGTAGCTGACACACTAGATTAGAGCGATCCGTTAGCTTTCAGTTCATCAGACAGTATTAAAGGTTAGAGTTGGAATTAGTGTTTTCAAAAAGGAGGTTTGAGACGCTCGGTTTTCACTCATTCTTCAGAGCTTTCAGTCCCGAGGGGAAGACTTGTGTCAGTCTATTCACTTGTTTAACTATGTGAAAAATATTACACTATATTCTATGATTAGCTTAGAGCAACTAACTCTTCAACTGAAGAGCCTGAAGTCTGTATGAACAGTGCTGTATGAACAGTGCTGGGAAGAGAGTTAATTGCAGGTTAGAACTGGCAGTGACTGATACTTTCAGTTTTATCAAGTTCTCTGGCAATATTGGTAGCTGAAGTCCATGATTAAGATTGGACTTTGGAAGAAAAGAATTGGATAAACTGAGCTTTTGGAGACTGTGTGGCTCTTGGGTGACACAGACTGGTATTTGCATATCTGTATTTAGTGCAAGCATGGGCATTCACCCGGCTATTTTAATGATTAAGAATTCCTAGAGGTCATGTCTTTTATGAATTCTGCACAGTTCAGAGTCCTTGGATGAAGCCTGGTATCAAAATATGATGTGTTTGGTTTGTTACAAGTAGTGTCCATTTAGCAGCATTTATGATTATATTAATCATTTGAACTAGGGTGTCAGTAAAGCAAGGCTGAATTTTCAGGCACATCCATGGATCCTGTTTGCCTTTGAAATCCAGGAGGAAGGCTGATATCAAGTTGGAGCCACAGGTTGGGTTTTTATCCTGTGGTGAAGTGGATTTATCATCCATTTAAACTTGGAAATCCCAAATCTTTGTTTGTGAAGCCCAGCCATGATGATGATGATGGAAACTTGGAAATGCATGATTTAAGAAAAGGTCAAATCTCTACTGGATTTTTTAGGGCTTGGAAATGTAGGGTAAGAATTGGTAAAATATGAGGGGTGATTTTATACTGGCCTCCTGAGTATATTTAAGCACTAAACTGGAGACACCTTTTAAATATTGGAAAGGTAGAATTGGAGAGGTTAAAATTTGCCAGATTCTTTGCAGATTAGAGATCTAAAATGAGAGCTGTGATGAAAAACAGAATCCAACCTGTATGACATGGATTGAAAAAAAATTAAACGTGAATGCAGCAATAATTTATTTAAATTCTCAGATAAGGATATGAGATGAGAGAGTATCTGCTGAAACCACAGCACCAGCTGCTGTGGCAGCCAAACATTTTGTGTGGTTGTCAGCATCAAAACATCAAAATACACAAGACCCCAGCTGAGCTCAGGCACGTGAGGTGCTGTTGGAAAGGTTAGCAGTGTACCTTCACAAAGGTGTCTGAGGGAGGGAAGCAGCCAAGGCAAAGGGACAGAAGGATCCAGCCGCGAGCGTAGCTGCTCCTGTTGCTGTTTTCAGTGAGTTGTTTGCAAATCTGGCAATAAATCTCATCTCTGTAATGAAATATGTGAGAGCAACAGATAATGATTCACTGTCTTTCAGCTGTCTTTGGCTATGTTTCCACTGCAAGCATGGTGCAGTTGCAGCATGATGAAGTCATGCTAGATTTAACTGAGCTAGATTTAACTGCGTTAGCTGGGATACCACCCGTGATGCACCACAGGAAATAACTTGGTCATGGAAAAGGCTCAAGGTATGCTCAGGGCCCTTTGCCACCCCTTCTTCCTCAAGCAGTTTAAGTGCAATAATTCCCATGCTGGGGTACCTCCTGTGACAAGCAGGGGTACTGTGCAGGGATAACAACTGCTGGGTCATCCAGCTGGGAAATGGCATTGCTGTCCCACCATGCTCCAAGCTCTCTAGAGCATGTGGCTTGTACCTTGGCTTTTGTCTGTCTGCTCCTAGGTGCATCTGGGGATAAGGATGGTGGGACACCCTCCTTAATTTTATATTTTTTTTTTTTTTTGTATATATATTTATATACAAACTTGGAGTGAATCCTTGGACAGGCACTTCAGAGTGAGCTTCTGAAAATGCAAATTGCCTGCAGCAAGGAAGTATGGGAAACAGATTCAAAAATCTGTATACAGACAAAACTTCTTTTAAAAAATCATCTTAATTTTTCTTGACTCTTGCAACACACATCTGGCAAATCTGATGTGGGAGGACATAAGTCGGATAAGGTTTTGGTTCCCTGATAGAACACATGATGAAACACAGGGCAAGGGGATAGGTACTTAGCCTGTGGCTGTTATGATACATGGACTGAAGGCAGTTTTTCCAGCTGGGAATCTGCTTCAGGGAGTGTCTTGACTGAAACAAAGCCACGGTGTAGAGAGGAAAGCAGCCCATGACTGAGGTCAAGGCAGGGCCTGTGCCTGTGGGCTTTGTTACAGAAAAATGTTACGTAAGCTAAAACAGAGGAGAAGATTCATGGGGTCAGGCCAGGACCAACCAGCTTGTCCTCACACCATGCTTGGCCTAAGGTCCAGCCTCACACTGCTTGTGGACAGGATTTCTTCTTAGTGGCTGATACACTCAGCAATCCAGACCTTCAGCTGTCTCTGATTTGGGGACATTGCTTGAGGACTCAGCAATAGGCTATTGGGAAACCTCTCATCCATTAACTCCATATTTCTTACTCTTCTGAGTGACTCTTCTCCCTCATCCTAGGGCTATGTTCCACCAGATGTTATTGGGTTACAGCCCTGAGCTCTGCCCCATTCCATACCCGCGGGATATTCAGAAAGCCGTACATGAAGGCAGCTGGCCTAAACTGCAACATGAAAATACTGGGAAAAACAATAAAGGAGTCATTCTCCAGGACTGTGGAAGGGGAATGCTGGATTTCCTTCATGTAATGGGCATCTAGTCCTAGGAAGGAGGTACAAACTTCCTACCTGATGGCAGGACGCAGAATGGCATTGCCAATAATGAAGTGCACTTTTTCTAGGTTGGACATCGGTCTCTCAGAGATCGAGGTGTCCTCTTGGAAAGCCTCTTCTCCACTTCGCAGCTGGTCTGCCACCTGAAGGAAAGCAAGTAGAACCCCAGAGTGTTCTAGAAACCCCCCCTCTTAGCAGGCAACTCTCTCAGAAATGAGAGACACTCCTTTTCTGTCTTTCTGGATAAACCACTGTCTGCTCAGTGCAGGACCAGTTAGAGCCAGGCCATATTCCCCTCTTCTGTCTCCAGGTAACTCCTTAAATGCACTGTTACAGCACTATCACTGGCTTGGAGAACTTTCTTGTACTGTCCTGTACAGCCCTAAGCACATGGTAGTTCTCAGTCTGTTCAGGGCTTTGGGCAAACTGCTGTGTAATGCCAAGAGTTCTCAATAATAAATTGTTCCCTGTGTTCTCTGCCAGAGTGTGGATGACAGCATTGCCCAGGGGGATCATTTCCAAAGAATACTGCACCAAGTATCCCACACAGGTCTGCACTGGCTTCTCAGGGGAACAAGTTCCCAGCTGGGAGGTTGCTGTCACATAACATCTGTCAGAAGGTGAAGATAGGGTTCCAGGCAAGAAGAAAAGGAAGCAATTTATTTCCACCTCTTACCTTCCCTGTCAGCTTGGATGACCGTTTCAGCTTCAGGGATGAGATCCCCTTCAAAATTTTGTTATCCCTTCTGCCTTCTCTCTGCAACAGACATTACCACTATAGGAAATTAGTTCAATGCACAGCAAGAATGATTCATTAAGGACAGAAAGATGCTCAAGTGAACATGTTTTTGTTTTGTCCTCTCCTGCCAGAAGGAGCTGCAGTGTCCTGCCAGGACTAACTGGAGCCCTTTTGTACTTCTAGCATTTCAAGTACAGTAGCATGAAAGGGTTCCTTTGCTTTTCTCACTCTTGGTAGAACAGCACAGAAACCAAGGAAAGCAAATGAAAACAAAAACATAGCCTGCTTCTCTCACCATATTCGGGCTGTCATTCTTCAACTGGACCTGGTTTTTTCTGCCAAGTGTGTCATATATCTGTGTCATCACGGAGCTGCTCTTGGTGGTGGCATTCTTGGCAAACATTGCTGGCTCTGGCAGGTCCCCCATGAACCTCAGGATGATCACCCACACAACTAGAGAAGCCTGTAGTAGCAGAAAGCAAAATCAGACACCTCCAAGAGAACCAATGCCTCATGCCATTTCTGCCTGTTTAGATAAGAGCATTTTCTTCCTTTACCCCAGTCCAAGCTGTTTAAATTCCCATCTCCTCCTGCTACTTACACGAGGAGTTTAGTTTCATGTCAAACAACATGAGAGCAACACTCACAACACTTTAATGCTAAAGGAAGAGGGTACAGCTCTGGTGAGAATATCAGATTTGCTCTGTGGTTGCTGAGCCCTCACCATTCCCTTTACTGGCACCTTGCAGGTATGCTGTGGCTGGAGCGAGGTGGAGAAACCTTGGCTGAACTGCACCCTGCATTTACCCACCTGGGCAGTGGAGTGGACTCTTCCAGGAGCCCTCATGCCCAGAACTAGAAAGCCAAATAATAGCGAAGTTCTTGACACGTGGGATCCTCAATTCTGCAAGGCTGCTTAGCATCAAGGAAAACACCCTTCCTAATCCCCCTCTGGTTCAACAGAATATTGGATGCCTGGCCCTCCCCCTTCTGTCCTAACTCACAGACCAGCAACCCTAACAAGGGCAGAGAAGTGGGTGAGCTCTGGTGCTTCTTCTCTCTGGTCCATTTTTGCCTCCGAAGGGTAACTTCTGGAGAAGTCAAAACAAACCTCTGAGTTCCCTCTTTGGGTAGACTGAAGGTAACTAGAGATCCTGTGTTGGGCAGGTGTTTGTGGGAAGTGCCTGCCTGCAAAGTGCCAAAAAATGCCGATGAGAACTGTTATTTTTCGTACAAGTGCTTAAGACCATCTGCTTGGCTCTAGAGTCTCTGGCTCCCAGGGCTGTGCCAGAGGCAGGGGACCCAAGGATGAGGGGAGCTGTAAAGCTAGGGCTGTGGACAGAGCAGGTTCAACAACAAGAAGGAGCAAGATACCAGGACATTGTCCCTGTCATCATGGTAGAGTAGCGGGTGCCGTAGCTGTCTCCGGATATGTGTATGTGTAGAAGACCCCTGGAAATAAGTAGCTGCAAACTTGGGGAAGGTGTACTCTTCCAAGCCATCTGCTTCCTCTTCGAGCTCCACGCTCATGGGAACCATGTCCAGGTCTACCTCCTCCAGCTTGTTAGGCTTTGTTTCCAAGTCCTGTGCAGAACATGAGGAAGAAGCATATTTTCTTTCCCTGAACTCTGATATTCTTATGTTTGGTTTTGGTTTTTTTTTCTCTTGGTCATAGGTCCTCCTTTCCAGCTAACCTCAAAGCCATTTACAGCTGCTACCAACAGATCATTTGGACTCAGAGCTTGTCCTTCTGAGATACATCCACTTCATATGGCCTTCCTGTCTTGGTCCTCAGCAACAATATTGCTGATGGAAAATCCAGGTGTTACCTCACTGTTCATATCCTGCACTAAGACCATTCTATTTTGCCCACCTCTCCCTATGCAATTCCATCATCTACAGCTGTCAGGACTAGTATATACCAAGTTTTGCTTTTAAGAACATGGGATAACTTGGGTTATGAACTTCCACCTTTCAGGCAGAAAATCACCAACCTGAACCATGTGAACCATCAAATCTAGTCGGTAACTATTTTTCCTTTTTTCTCTCTCTTTCTCTTCTCCTGCTGCCTCCACTTTCCCCTCTCTACTTCTCTCTTTCATCCCTTTTTCTTTACTCTTTTAATCTGTTTTCTTCTTCTTTTCCTTCTCTTGTGGGTAACTTAAAACCAATGAATTGTGTTTTACTACAGCTAGTATATTGATTCTGTGGAATGGGTTTTTGTACTGAGTGTTGTAGTGAAATGCTTTTTCTTGGTTGTATTTTACTCCTTTTGCCAAAATATCTTCTCATTAAATTAAAAGTATTTCTCTTAGAGAAGAGTGTGTGACTTTTTCTCCGGACACTAATTAGAGGTTATAATGAACCAAAAGGCTTTTAAAAAGTCTTAAATAAAATGTAACCACTCTGGGCAACTTCTGGCTTAAACTCCAGAGTGTAATATAGGCTGTGCCAAAGAAACAAATCTGCAGTTAGAAGCTATATAGTTCTCAAAATGCATGTGACCAAAACGTTTGGGAACTGACCTCTGAAAGCAGATGTCACAGCGACTGTCTGGATGACTAATTTGGGTGATTCTTTCACTGTACAGAAGTTCATTAAACAGAACTGACCACTGATGGAATTCCAGCAGTCAGTGGACTTACACAAGGGATAAGCATGACTCATTACCAGTCTGCAGCTCTGTACCTCAAAACCCAGAGGAGCCTGTCCTTCTTGGCCTCCAATCATAGAAGGTAAAAACCCAAAAATTTTGTCCACCATTTCTTGGTCACTGATAACATCATGATTTGTTGGTGTGTTACTCCTTTGTCTTGCTTCGGCCTCCTCTCCCTCCTGAGTTGCCAGGCATAGAAATAAACATAGAAATAGGTTAGGCATGGCTTAAACATCATTCTGTTAGAATGAAGGAGTGTGAAGATGAAACACTATTACAAAGGTGTGTGACAGTGAGGTCCAGCCCTACCAGTGCAGTAGTGGAATGGGAAATCAAATGTTGCTTGTGTCAAGCAGTCACAAAGATCTGGCACATCAGCAGCAGGGCCTTGCTCTTACAGCTGTCCTTATGGACTGTTGGCCTATTGATAATGATGTGCAATTATTCAAGAACTTTATCAACAAGAGATAATACAGGGAAAACACAGAATTTCTAACAGCAGAAAACCCCACAACATTTAAAATTTAAAAAGGTTTTGTGTCAGGGGGTTGTAATAGCATTGGGCATATTTGGTAACGTGCCAGCTCATGCTGCAATCAGAAACGTGTATGTGTTTGGCTTGTCCCGTTTTCAAAGCGTTATTACAAATAGGTTTGCAACTACGTTTTCTCTTTCTTAAAATATAGCAGTGCTCAGATGTTTGAACAAGTCTGCAGGTCTGGTCTAGGCAAGGCAAGGTGTCTTGTTAGCCAAGGAACAGAGCACTCAGTGTTCTTCCACCAACATACTTACCTTTGGTAATCTCATAGCTTCTTCCATTGCTTTCACTGGTCCAAGGACTTGGATGAGACGTTCCTCTTCCTCCAAGTGGATATTCCTGGCTTCCAGCTTGTTCTGTGGACAACATTCTGTGACCTTTTGTACAACTGCTGAGCCAGGTCCCTTCAGCCATTAACGAGCTGTCCACACCAGCACTTTTTCCCAACAGGGACTCAGTTCTAGATCGGGCATTTTAGGGAAGAGGCAGAAATCTGCAAACTGGCTTTGTCCTGTTTATACAGCATTAGTACATAAAGGAAGTCATGGAGAGGCCTCCAACATGCTGTGGACTCTCAAGGGCTGGTAGCACATAGCAAGACACACTGTGTTAGGATTCCCTTCATGGATCCCTGAGTGCCATTAGCAGGCCTTTCTGTAGAAATGGATCTCCCGTTGCAGGAGAGATACATGCCCACATCTTTTCTCCTGCCTTCTGTCAAAACTGCTTCAGCTGTGTCAGTGAAGTTTTGACCCATGATAATGATCACATAAAGCAAATGTAAACAAGATCAGTCTGCCTAACACTCTGCTTTTGGGCTTGACAAGCGCTCAAAATACAATATCCCAAAATGAGTATCCGCACCTAGCGCTATGCTGCGACAGCGCTTGTTGTTCGTGAGATTGGAATTTCATAGAAACAAGTTATCTGTGAGCGTACCTCCCCCTTCCTCCTCTGGTAGGTCTGGCGAGCCAACATGCCCCTCGCGTATGCCTGTATGACACACACAGCTTTCTTCTGCTCTGCCACCTTCTGGCGCACCAGGTAACCCCGGCACCGGGCTTGGAGCCTGATGATGCGGGCCCGGGTGGCCCCGTAGTGCTGGGCCAGCTGCCGGCTGCGGTACAGGGCCTGCAGGCGCCCGAAACCCAGCATCGCCTGAGGGACGGGAGAGACAGCGAGTCACTTCAAAACCAGAGAGACTGGGATGGGTAGAAGACAACAAAATTCAGTAACTGCATAAAGACACTGGAAGCAGCTAATGTAATAGTACCTCTTGTGCTTTAAAAGGTACTTTACTGGTTTTCCTGCCAGTAAAACGACTTTAAAACTAGATATACAGAGTTATCTGGGGGATCTGTTCAGGGAATGGCTCCAGGGAGTGACAGTGATAGCCTGGGATTATGACAAGGGAAGGAACAGAGCAGACATGAAGCCAAGTGAATGGAAGCAAGCAAACAAAGTCACACCCTTGGAGCCATGGATGTGGCAATTGCAAGAGAAGCAGTGGAGGAGGGTTCCTATTTCACCAGAAAGCAGAATTCAGCAAGCCCTGAGATGTCCCAGAGTCCTCCTTGGACTTTACACCCTTCCTTACACCCTGACATCTTGCCTCTCCTCCCTTCAGTTGTGAATATCTTCATTCCTAATACTCTACTCAGTGTGGCAGGGCATAGTAGATAAACAAACAAACACACACACACACACATATATGTGTACACCTTCATCTTACCATTCTGAAGTCCTTCCGGCAGCAGTAGCCTCTCCAGGCTGACTGAATAGCTACAGCAGACTTCCTCTGTTTCAGGAACTGCTTCCTAAGCAGACAGACATGTGAGGTGACAAACAATAGGTTATCTCTGTTGCTTCTTATGACAGTAGTAAAGAAGAAGGTGGCATTTCTTTCCTTTTTTCCTGGGATGTCTCCAGTCTGATCTCAGCCTTGTTTCCTGCAAAAATACTCACAGCAACTGCAGACCAAATTCATTGCTATGGTCAGAGAGCTCTGTAAGAACTGAAAACCCCTTACATCAAGGTTGGATAAGTAACTCCCCCACCTAATAACCACTTGCTCCCCAGTGTCCTGCTGCCAGGACAAGTAGCCCATCTGAGCAAGATGAACTTCCCATGGTACAAACTGTCACACCAAGGCTGGCACATAGCTCTGATGGTTTAAAAATAAAAGCAAGTTGAGGTTTTTAGGGAGAGGTGATACTCTGTTAAATAGCAGGCAGAGTCTGAAAAAAAAGGGGGAAGTTTTGGGGCATTTGTGTCACGTTTTTTGTTTCTTGCTCTCTACTGTCAAGAATATTACTAAACTAAACCAGGATTCAGTCCTATATCATGGTTCTGATTGGGGGGATACAAGGTAAATAAGAAGAAATCGTGACACAGAGCATTCAATGAGGACAAATATTTACTTGACAGCGACTAAATTGCCCTTCTGAAGATATTTCAAACTAAAACCAGACAAAATGCAAGAATTATGCATCTTTGGCAAAGAGAAGGACTAGTTAATTTCTGTCTGATTCTTTTCTAGGTTTTGTATCAAAGAAGCATCCTAAATAAGAGAATTCTTGTAGCTCTGAGAAGGACAGATTGCATGGGGATTTCCTGCTTTTGAGATGTCTACCATTTACCAGAAATATTAAGAACAAATCCTCCTTCCAACCCTTCCTGTTCATACAAGCTGTGTGTGCCACAGCCCTGCATTTTGAAAAGCGTCGTGAAAATAAAAAAACTGAGCCAAACCAAATCCTTGTGCAAAATCTGCATAGATACACTGTGCACTCTTACATGATGAGCATGGAATTTAGGGCTGGTGGAAGGTGTAGATTGGTACGTTTCATACCTAGAAATGCTGCACAGAGTGTGTTAAGATGCACCACAAAGATAACTGCTTCAAACCAAAGTGACTTCCTTCTTACAAGATCACTGACCTGTCCTTCAATCCTCTCATCACCTTCTGGATAAGAAGAACCTTATCTGTGAGTATATTTTGGCGTTGCAGCTCCAATACAGTGTCATGATGATCCTGTTAAAACAAAGTGTGGATATGCCAGGTGAGCAGACACACACCTACGACCTCTGAAAACTGGGCATGTGGTCTGAAAGAGGCCCAAAATCAGCATGATGGAGCATAATGTGATTAAAATGCATTTATGGGACTTCAGTAGGACGAGTACACGCCACCTGAGCACACCTGGTCTGTCTATAGCCATAAACAAGCAGTCAGACTGTTTTACCTGGGGGAATGCTACAGGCAAGGTGGTTTCCTGCAACAGTGTACTGGTATCCCATTCTTTTTTATGCTCCAATACATTGCACTGTACTGTTTCAGCTGCAAAGCTGGCACACAGGAACAGGATCAGCCTCTCCTACACCAGACTGTCTCTACTGAATTATTTGGCCTTCAGGAACAAAGATACAGCTTCAGATTCAAGAGAGTTTATAAGACAACCGAGTCCTCCTAGGTCACCACTCTTGCACAAGCAGGTCAAACTGTACTGTGAAGCATCCAGTCTTTCAGGAGAAGAGACAAAAAACTGTCCTTTTTACTTACTTTAAGGAAAATCTTGGTCCTTCCAACTTGCCAGCTTTCATCCTTGCCCAGCACTGCCTCGGAGATGCTGATGCAGCTCTGTCGAGCATCATTCTTCAGCTGATGTGCAAAAGCATGGTGATGTTAGGGCTTGGTTGTGAAACACAGCAGCTGTGCTATAGGTAAGGATCTACTGCCCTGCATTTCAAAGGGCGAAGAACAGGAAGGGATGAGGTCTTACTGACCTCTGGGCTGACAGTATAATGAATGAAAGTGGTTCAACTCAAATGGTCAGGAAAAGGAGGAACACGACTGCATGGCCAAACATTCCAGAGTTCAAGTGTGAGGAGGATGTCAGAGACCTGAGAAGTATGTGATTACAGAAAAGAAACATCTGAAGGCACATCCTGCCTGGGATGTCTGTATGGAGCAGGCCAATGACAGCTGGACCTAAAAACAGCTGTCCATTTTCAGCTAAGGCCCAAGTGAGTAAGTATTTAGCTGTAATTACTGTGGTGACAGTTCCATGATGGCAGCTCCTGCGATGACAGCTCTCTCAACTGTGCCAGCAGTAATTCAAGAACTTTCTACCGTGGAAAAGACTAAAGCCTCGTAAGGAAAAGTTAAATTAGCCTTAAACCAGGTTTTTGCTTACACACCTGTTGTCGAAGAGACCATGGCAAGAGAACCCTGTATCTCTCAAAGAACTCCTCAAAGGTGTAGCGAATTGGGTACCCAGCTTTCCTGATCTGAATGGTCTCCATCATCCCCGAATATCGCAGCTGTTTGATACACAGCTCCCGGTCGAACAGCTGAAGGGGAAAGCACAAGAGGAGGAGACTTAGCACTGAAAGAAGGTACACATCCAGCATCCCTCAGAACGTATCTATTAACCTTCAGCCTCAGAGGGCCTGCAAAATGGCCGACTATGCTTTTCTTAATTGCACTGAATGAATTCATTATGGGCATAAACAAGTTACCCCAGAGGGCTCTCAATTCTGTGTATGTGAGCAGAAGATACAGCCCGTTAACTTCACTCTGGCTTTAGTAACCACTTTCAATTCCAGAACCACAATTCCAGATGAACAGTGAGTTGTTCATATCATTTGCAGGTGTGAACAACTGCGGTAGCAACTTAGGCCCTTTGGGCATACCCTGCAGAGCATAGCAGGTGTGCTGCTTGTTTCTAACAGGCTCACTAAGCCACATGCAGTACTTCAAAAATATTCACTTGACCAACACCATACCAAGTTTAAGTGTAAAACTGGAGTTTTACACCTGAGTTCCAGACAAGTGTCTTAATGACAAACTGATTCCTCTTCTCCCGTGGTGTCAGACTAAGCCACATCACCCCTCTCACAAACTCCAACAGCTCTCCTATTCTCTCTCAGGCTATTTCATAGTATGAGCATTGTGGGATCCTAATGGGTGTTTTTGTCCCCTTGCTGAGGGGCTACAAACTCTCTTTCGCTTTACAGAAAATATAACTATATAACTCTGCTCAGGAATACCTGTATGTGCTTTTTTGCCATCCATTACTGTAGGATGTATTTTTTGAGATGTTTTTGTACATTAACAATGTTATATCCTCCTACTGTCTTAATTGCAGGAATAGCCTGTACTCCAGCTCTTCTTGGCTGCAGCCAAGCACAGCTATAAAGTGCTACACAGCAACCGACAGCTTTTTCTGATTAAAAACTTCACTGAAGACAAGAGCTCATATTGTTAGAACATTACCAGTGGTTTCTTGTAGTCATTAGGCTTGATGCAGCGGATGAAGTATGGCTGGCACTGCTCCAGGATTTTCATTAGTTTTTCCAGGGATTGCTTGAACTGTCCTCCCAGAGTAGAGAGCCGCTTGGTGGTATCCAAGCCCTGGGAAGAGTAAGCACGTGCTGACTGCTACATCATTCACTGCCAGAGGCCAGTTAATAAAACTTTGTATTTTTGTACAGCGTAGCAGTATCACACAACTCTCAGAAAAAAATTATTTACCTACATGGGAATTAAATTGGTCGTTTTCATCTTATTAATTTTGGCTTATTCTTGCAAAGAAACCCCATTAAGTGCTGTCACCTACTTGGGCACTAAGTTCTAGCAATGATGGTGGCTGTGGTAGAAGAAATTCCACCTACAGGAGCCCACATACGCCTGTCTCTTCCAGCCAAGGCTGTGTTTAGTGTAGGGCCTGGGTGCCAAGTGTGATTCCTGGGTGCGTGCCTGAAAGCTTCGTGAGAAACAGCCCCTCCCAAAGCACTACCAACCTCCAGGCCAGACATTTTGTGCCATCATAGATAAGAATGCTAAAGACCCAGAACAGCCTATTTCTTAAGGATTAGGATGACTGATCACCTTGCTCATTAGTACTACAGTAAGCAGGGAGAAGGCAAACTTTTACTGGAGTAAGGTGAGAGCCACTCCAGACTTCCCCAGCTTCTCTGACAGCAGAGTTCCACCTATGCCTTTTTCACACAAATCATCACATTAGGCTCAAGCTTCTATCTCTCAGTATGGGCACATTAAATTGCAGTGACACCAGTACAAATTCCAAGTAACAGAAGGGCTCCAGTGGCCTTTTACATACAGGCATGGAGCTAATTATTGCAGCACAACACAGCTGGTTTGCTCGTTTGGGGAGGGGTTAGTGGGTTGTGGGGGTTTTTTTTATTTTTTTCCAAGTAAATAATTTAAAGTTCAGTGGCTCCTCTCACTTCCATGGTCTTTACAGTACTTCATTCTGCTCTGTTCTTACATCTAAAGTGCCTTTTTGAACACTCAAATTGCCACCCTCTGCTTTAGTTGCAGGGCAAGGCTGCCCTCCAGTGATCAAAGACTCATGTTTTTGGAAAACAGCTCCTGGCAATGTCTTGTCGCAGCTCTGATGCATCTTAGGGCTACAAAGCATCTGAAGTAGGTATGCTAACAGCATATACATATTTAAGCTGTGTAAGAGTTAAAAGCAGCTTTCACTCCCAGACCTTAGAGGCCTTTCTGCTGTACCCTCAGTGGCAAGGCCACAAAAGGCTGAAGCCCACGCCCTCATGATCTCACACATGGAACATTGTTAAAGCTGAATTTGTTGTTGGCTTTTGGCTTAAATGGTGACTTTTCTGCCCTGGTGTGTCAGGAGAGGAACTGTGGGACCTCAGGACAAAAAAGTGTTTTCTGGCCCTTAGTTCATTATTCTTTTCTGTAGCCTGCTTCTTAAGCTTCCCAATGGTAGCCCCACCTATCTGAAAATTAATAGGGGTATTTCAGCTAATTTTTATGCATTTTGGAATGGGTAGCCCCCCTTTAGTATCTCCTTTCTTGACATGCTGCTGTGCTTTTTTTCAATAACGCAGACTTATTTATAGGAACAAAAACCATTAGAGCAATGTAGATAGACCTGATATTTAATCTGAAGGTATTCACAGCATTTAAGAGATACTAAGCCAGTTCTCTGTTGCTGCTTGTACCACTTCTGATGTTCTTTGCCCCCAGGATGTTTACCTGTCCATGGCCAGGTGTTCTGGACAGCAGAAAACCACACTGGGACAAAGACAGAGGAAGAAAGAACAGGATCAGAAAACAGTGCCAGGAGAATAGGCAGATAAGAGGTAAGGTAGCAAGCTGTTCTGTGTCCTGAAAGAAAAACTCAATGATGTAAACAGTAAAAGCAAAAGTACCTTTACACACTGACGACAGTACATTGTTAAATGCTCAGAAATCACAGTTTGTGAAAGTTGGAGCAGCACAAAGAACCCAAACTCTGCCCCAACGCTGTTTCCAGTCCACTACACTTTACACCCTCATTTTCACAAGGCTCCCTCCACCACCAGGCACAGATGGGCCTGTGACAATGAGCCATCATGAACTTTGTCATAAAGCCTCTGGGCAAGAAGGGAGAGCTAAAATTGCAGCAGTATGCAGGGCAGTGAGACTGTCTCTACAGGTGTCACTGGGAGAAGGAGACAGAGTATCTTTCTGTGACAGCACAGCTCTTTGCTCTGTTGTGCTACCTGTCAGCCCTCTGTAGGAATGGGAAGGCCAGGACCCACTGTCCAGTGAGACTCTTTGGTGTTCTGGTCCCAGCAGACTGGCTGCCTGTGCAGCACAGCAGCAGTTTCCCTACTGTGCTGGCTTTGCTGAGGGGTCTCTGGTTGGTGCCTTGTCCATTCCAATGAACATTTTGAACCCCCTCGTAATTTACACCCCTCTGAGCAATGTGGGTGCTGGATGGATGCCCAGGCAGGTGCAGACCAAACCCATCCAGCTGATGCCAGCAGGTGGGGGAGGTCCCACGACTCAGGGACGTGGGGCAGCCTGCAGGCATGGCTGCACAGATGTCCAGGGATGCAGATCTGGGCAACAGGGCTGACAGTGCACTTGTCTACAGCACAAACACCAGACCCCGACTTTCCTGCAGCTTCCTTTGCAGAAACAAGTTGAATGAAAGGGACAGGAATTTGCAGAGACAGTGGGGGGAAAAAAAAAAAAAAAGAGGAGGTCAAGAACAGCTAGAGGAAGGGAAGAGAAATGAGTTGTTTCTATAAGCCAGTGTCAGTAAGCCAACCTTGTAGATCTGGTCAGCTCCAAGATGCCGGATGGTCCCACGTCCCAGAGTAGGTGGGGTCACTTCCACCTGGAAAATCTCTCTCAGGAATTTGTTTTTGGAGGAATGGACCACTTGCATTACGTTAGCACTCAGTGTGTCACGATTTTTCTCCAGGAAATCTATAGGATGGAAACAAAATTATCACATCTGCAGCCTGCTGGCTCTAGCACCACTCTGTCTGCCTAAAATCCAACTCATTTACAGTAACTTGCAGATTGGTTTAGAGTCATTCTCCTGGCCTCCTGATCAGCTTCAGATCAACACTACCCTGAACAGCCACATACCCAGGGCACGTCCTGCCCTTCTCTTCACCCTCTGTATCCAGCAGAGAAAGACTCACCTTTTGATTCATAAAAGACAACCCCAGCAAAGTGGTTGATGCCAAACTTGGTGTCATGAACACTCTTAGGTGGGATATAGACTTTACTTTTGCCATGGAGGGAATTGATTTTAACAAGCATGGTGGCATCTGTTCCCTAGAAACAAATACAGGCAAAACCAGACAGTTATCAGATTGTCCCCAGCACTGGCCTGTGCTCAGCAAACAAACAGAAGTGGTGATCAGAGATAGCAAAAGCTCAAATTCTGCCCTTATTTGTGTAGCAGATCTGGAGGAAGGCAGTGCCAAAAGTATCTTCCCTTTTACACAGACCTCTCTCTCAAGCACCATGACAGAACACACCATCAGAGCCTAAGGCCTGGTGTTCTAGGGCTGTACACAAGCCCCCATAACACTACTGACATCACCAGGTGCACTGAGAATTCCTCAGAATTGGTCTTTGGACCTCACAAGCAGAGCCCCCCACCAGACATTCTCACGCCATCCTGTCCAGGACACTCTAAGGGGTGCCTGCTCCTTCTCCTGGGCAGGCACAGTTCTTTCACTCTGCAGCTGGTGCAGGACTCAGAGATCCCTGGAAGATTCCCTGAGCAGATACCAGTCAGCATGCCCAGACTGTGAGTTCCAGAGGCAAGGCAGTCAGCTGGGTGCTTCTCTTCAAGGGGTGCCGTCACAATCTCATCCCCTCGTGGTGCACGTGAGGCACTCACACTGTGCACTGTGTGCACTGGCCCTTCTAGGGGCAGTGAGGGCTGTGCTCTCAGAATTCATGTGCTCTGGGAGTCATAGAAGAGGTGCCTTCTCATCCTGACTGTGGGACCACCCTCTTCTTAGGGAAGAAAGCAGAAAGCTGTGTGCCTGTGTGTGATCCTCTCAAACTGTTACCTGAAGGACACAGATGAGCTGAGGCAGGGGCTGGCTTTTCTGGACAAGCCCATTGCCATCTGATTCCTGCACTAGCAATCCTGCTTAGCCTCACTGTGCTCTGGAGGCTGAAAATTCTTTGCAGGGATGTCTGAGATCAGATGCTACTTTCACCTCTGCTCTTCTGTTTGAGATGCCTGGTCTTTGCAGAATAACATTTCACAGAATCACGGAATTGTGGTAGGCAACAGCCACAGACTCTCACTCATCCACTAAGCAGGTCACCTTGTCATAGAAGGAGATCAGGTTAGTCAAACAGGACCCATGCTGACTGGGCCTGATCACCTTGTTGTTCTGTATGTGCTCTGTGGTGGTGCTCAAAATGATGTATTCATGACCTTCCCCAGCACCAAGGTCAGGCTGACAGGCCTGTAGTTCCCCTTCAGTTCCTCACAATGGTGACATTCCCTCAATTAGGTTTGTCAATCAGGAGAAGAAAGAACAAGCTGCAGCCCAGACCAAGAGCAGAAAAATACTCAAACGACAATTTCAAAGATTTCCTAAGAAGCCCTTGTAAAATGATCTGGACTCCTTCCTTCTTTGTTTGGAACAGCTGTAAGAGTTTCAACAGCAAGGTACCAGGAAGAGCAAATTCCAACAGAGAGTGAAGCAGCTGTATAGTGAGCTATACAGCTCTCTCTGTGGGGAGAACACATTGCCTCTTCTAACGTGTCGAAAAGCCACCTTTGCACTTTTGTGTGTGTAAAACCAAGTGCTACCTGTGAGCTGTGTGCAAAGCCAGGCATTACGAGTGAAACCAGAAATTTACCTTTGGGAACCTGCTCTCTTCATCAATGAGGGAGATGATGTTCATGGGCTTGAGTGCAATGACTTCCAGAGCCTGGCGGTTGTCAGTGAAGTCGATGTTGTTCCAGGCAATGTGCTCTGCAAGGTATTCCTCCTGCTCCAGCTTGAAGACATGGTGCACGAAGAACTGCTGAAGGTGCTCATTTGCAATGTTAATGCAGAGCTGCTCAAAGCTAAGGAAGGACAAGAGGAGAGCCCATGGTCATCCTTGGCCAGTGCTGCACTGCTCTCTGTTATTTGTTTATTCTCTGTATTAGATACATATCCAGAGATACTACTGCTAAATTCCACAGTGCTGGTGACACCATCACTGCATGTTGCCAATCTTAGCAATACAAGAGAGGCATTTTCTGCCGTGGTAAAGATCAGCAGCAGTGAGCCAACTGGTGATTGAGTGTTGCTGAGTAGGCAAGGAAAGATCTCTTACGTGTTTCAAGAAACTCCAGAGATAAAGGGGGATGTATAACTGTGAAAATCGCTTGACTGCATGAGCGTGTGACATGTTTCTGCTCCCACTGGCACTGCCAATTCTTTGGTTAGTTACTCCTTTAAGTGTTACCTGGTAACTGCTGTGGCACACTGTGTGTGCCTGTGGAGTGCTCACCACAGTGAGGCCCCATGTGGACTGCAGCCTTTGGGAACAGCATAAAATAACAGGAGAGAACACAAAAGAAAGAAGACAGACCAAATTGATCCTAGATCCTGCTCCAAAAGTCAGTGAGGAATATTATCTTGTTTAAGGCAAGAGGCATCAGTTGAAATGGATTGAAAAAAGACTGCAGAGTGTGCTGATGGTTTGTGAAGGACTGATGATATGGTAACTAAGAATGGCAAACAGAAATGGTGCTTTGGGACTGGAACCACCAGCGGAAGAGGCCACAGTGGTACAATGGTATACTGACCAGGGACTTTGCTGTCCTGTCCTTAAGAGTGGAGAAATGAAGCAGCCAAAAAAAAAAAAAAAAAAAGGATGGGAGAACATTGAGGAAGATGTAAGCATGAGCTGAAATGGTCTCCTTTGTACTATATGCCAAATGTATCCCAAGAGACATTGTAAAATGCAACGGAACAGGAAAGTTTGGTACAGAGACACAGGGACATACTACATCCTCACATAGTGGCTGTTTGCTCATAGCAGCTTCATAGCCATCTCCTCTGAGAAAATTCCTGAGGTTTTGGAATAGTTGTGTAATGGATGCACTAAACTGAAGGGGGGAGAGGAGGCAGAAATATGACCAAGACTGAAGAAAAATGGAATCTGTGCAGGATCATAATTGGGAAAATCCAGTAATGGAAATGTCACTGCTTTTGAGAATCAGGATGATGATGAAAAAGCATGTGTCTGTCTGGTTTTTTCATTCTTTCCCTTTACATCAGCTGCTTTTCAGCTTCTCATCTGGAGTCTCCTACCTGTTGTTGCTGAAGTTTTCAAACCCAAAAATGTCCAACAGCCCAATGGACTGACGTCTGTCCTTATGCTTCTCAGAAGCTGGGTTGAAAATGGCTGAGTTGATCTTGTTCACTATCCACAGGAAGATCCGTCCATATATCCCCTGAGGAAAAAATGCAAGAGGAATTAGAGCCCATCATTAGAGTCTTTGGACATAGCTTACTGCTTGTTATTGTGCTGCTGTGAAACTGTGCCTGAGAACCAGAAAGGCCCGGAGCCCTCTGGGTGAATGTCACATCAGACTCCTCAGCCAGGAAGACAGAGAGCTCTGAAAGCATCTTCAAAACATGGAAGTCTTTGGAAGTCTTCAAACATGGAAGCTGTAAGCACCAGTACCTTCACAAAGGCATCCCTGCCGTCGGCAGCTTGAGCCACGTTCAGAGGCCTAGACACACTTTCTCCTCGGACAATGATGGACAGGTTTGTGAGGCTGTTCTGGAGTTCACTGGAGTCCACCTGGAGGAACAGTCACGGCAACCTGGTCATTCCAGGTGAATAAAGGAGATCCAGCAAAGTATGTATCGGGAAGAGGGCTGTGACAAACTGCATGTCTAGCAGCATTCACTGGCAATTTGCTGTCCCAGTTAAATATCTCCCCACCCAGAGAGACATCTGCAGCAGCATGACTGGAGTGTCAGCAGGAAGAAGGGGATGTGGCTGTTGGATGTGCATCCCTGCACAGACACTCCAGAGACGTGCTCTGTCAGTGTGCTCAGGGAACAAGGGTGAAGGAGGAACTAGCAGGAGGAGATGAGAGTGCGTTACCTCGAGCAGCTTGGTGGCGATTGAGAAGTGTGGGGAGTCCATCACATCGGAGCAGTCCAGGTTGTCGTACACGGCCGCTGCAAAGAGGACAGTTGGTCTGGGAGGGAACCATTTCTGCTACATTAGCGGCCTGTGTTGTTAATGCAGTTGCATTTCTGTGATCCCGTAGCTCTGGGAATGTGGCAGGGCACCCAGTTCTCTTTTGAAACTCCCAGGTTTGATGATTTTACTGAGGATTTCACCCAGGGATCCTGGGATCTACAGGGCTCTCACAACTCCAGAACATCAGGCTAAAAACAGCAGCCAAACTGACAAGGTTATTAATTTAAAATAGTAGCTATTGAGGGTCTGGGGAAGTGATATTTGACTCCAGAAAATGTGTTTCTGAAAATATTTTTTGTCTGTCTGCTTGTAGGAAATCTGGACAACAAAGGGGAATGAAGGAAATCCCTAATTTTAGCAGCCAGCGTTACTCCAAAGAATCCAAATGGCATCAGTGCATCAGGCCCTCTGTATCACAAAATGAGGAGCTCTTTTCTAAAATGTGAGAGATTCTGGCATCCCGCTGGTGGGTGTCACACTGTGCCTGTCCATACCAAAAGTGCACCTATGCAGGTGAGTGTTTACCAGACTCAGCCAGGAGGATGACTGCTGTTATCTCCACAGCAAACACCACTCAGCTGCTCCTATGTCCTCTGGCTTGCCTGGCACAACAATCAGCAAATGTAACACGGCATTATACTTCCTGTTGTTTCAGTTTGTGTGATAAGGGCCTATTTACAACCATGGAAACCTGATGGCATGACAAAATAACAATAAGATGTTGTTTTTCAAAACACTAGGCAGTGGAGTCACAGATCAGAATTTTATGGTGCTTATCTGCCCGTCCTTCCAACTCTGTTGACCTGTTAATGCACGGCGGAGCAGCACAACCTAATCTGTACAGATGGAAGCACCGACTGGAAGTACCTTTACCATGGAGTCTGAGGAAAGGCAAGCACAGACAGTGCTGAGTTTACCTTGGAACTCTACATTCCCCAGGTGCAGGATGGCAGCTAGCAGCTTGCTGATGTCCCAGTGCTCAGAATCCGAGAACATGAGGATCTTCATGGCCGAGCGGATGTGGGCATAATCCTTCGCGTCGTTCCGGCTGTCGCAGGACATGCAGTTGCCCTGCAAGGCACCACACCCACAGGTGAGGAAAATCCTCCTGGTACCCATACAAGGAAGAAGGGACCTGCAGGCTGACAAACCTTTGTACACAGTGTGGTTATCCTGTGAGTCACTTGCCACAAGATGCAAGGTAAAAACCTATTTAGATATCCTATATCCTCTTCCCATGGCTGCTTCTTCCTTCATCTTTACTCTAAAGAACCCATTAGCAGAGGGCTCGGTAATGTATTTCTCTGGGGCTAAACAGAATTCTGGGGAGGCCAAAAGGACAAGCTGAAGGGAAGGCTGCTCTAGAGCACAGAAGGACAGGAAGCTTTGACAAGGTTACCTACATTTACAAGGCCATGCCAGTTTCTTTGGTTTCCTCCCTCTGTCTTGTCAATGGACAATTAAGAGCCCTTATCCCAAATCAAAGCAAGTAGGATTGGATCAGTACTAGAAGGCAAATCTCAAAATAAAAATATTAGGTTCTAGTGGAAGGCAAATGGAAGCATTCAAGGCAGCATCAGAAGAACCTTCATCAAAGCCTGGTCCCAGGATGCTGCTCCTGATAGAAACTATTTTCAGCCCTAATGGAGATGGGGAAATGCCTTTTTTATCCTTGCTATTTCTGACAATATAGTGTGATGATTACAAAAGTGAAATATTCCTAGACATTTCAGTCTACAGCATCTAGACATGCCAGCTTGTGCCAACAGCTGACCTTAACAAAACCATGGATATGTTCTCCTTTAATCCAGTCCTCCTATCTCTCTATCATACTGCCCTACTGCTGACCCAGGGGCCTTTTTTATGGAATGAACAATGGCTGAATTGCACTAATTGTACTTGTCAGCTTTTGCTGCAAGATCACTGCTATTTTGAAAACATTACATTTGAAAAAATCTCCAGCAACTTAAATGGTTTTTCTTTTGAGACTTTAGAAAGGGATGATAGACTTGATTTGATTTCCTCTGAAACTAGATGCCTATCTTCCACTAACTTCAGTAGAGGCAGGACTAAGCCCCATTTTTTCCACAGCTGTAGAACAGCCCAAATCAAACCAGCTGACATGTTTAATATGAGATATCTACACAGGCTAAAGAACAGAATTTTCATTATGGCTTTCATGTCCTAAACCAAACAACTAGCTATTTTCAAAAATCTCACCTATGAACATTCCACTGCTACCACAATGGCATCATAAACCCAGACAGGGACATTAACATCAGTTGTGGGAGGTTATATTGAATGCCAGCTGCCTGCATTGTGCATATAAGATTCATTAGATATAAGGACTAGGATTCTGCTTATTCATTTTCCTCTAAGGTACACATATGTGATTGCTGTTCTCCCTGGAATGAGATCCCTTGCATTCCTCTGAAATCTGAGTGCCTGGGAAAGTGTGGGATGTTTTCCACCTGCTTTAATATGTCCTTTATGTTTCTTAAGTCTGACTTTGATAGAAAGCTTTGACTTGCCTCAAGCTGCTTCCCACTGGTGAACAATACAATAAGTCTCTGAAACTGAGGCTCACAGCACTTTTGGTGTTATTGCTCCTGGTATTCTAAGGAAAGGACTGTTCATGTTTGGTAATTACCACTTGCAGCTCCTACTGATTGTAATTGCTCATTGGGAGAAGCAAATGGCAGAGGGATAAACAAAGAAGAAAAAAAGCAGAGGCTATTACCATGGTGAGATATGTGTACTCTGAAGCAGTGCCCAGATTCAGCATCTTTTTCTGCTCTGTGTTCATCCCCATTAGCATGCAGTAGAAGATGTGATAGTTCCTCTCCTCTGGAGCCTAAAAAAAACCAAAACAGGCCAATGGACAGCCTTGTCAGGATAAGCTTGTGACACAGGAGCAGGCAGAATGCACACCTGCCAGTGCCCTCACCTGCCGGCAAACCCGGGACTTCTCCAGAAGAAACTGTTCTATCCGGGCTCCTTCTATCACACCATTTTTGTTGAAGTGAATGTCAATGTATTTCCCAAAGCGGCTTGAGTTGTCATTTCGAATTGTCTTGGCATTTCCAAAAGCTGATGGGCAAGGGACAGAGAAAGTATCTGGATTATTACAGTCAATGAACATCGTCTATTTTTTATGCCCTTCTGTTTTACTGCTAGTGTTTTACACGTTGTGTTCCAAAAGACAGCGCTGGCAAGCACTGCAGAATGTCTGGTCTCAGGCTGCCTCCTGAAGAGAGAGGCAGGCACACTGTGCATCCACATAATTGGGTCCTGAAAGACATATTCCAATTATACAAATGTGGTCTGTATCTGGCCAGACAAGGGAGTCTGAACACCTCCAGAAGGATTTACTGGGAGCACATTTGATCCCTGTACAGAGAAAGATGACTGTCTCGGGGAGCTCCCCTACAGATACATCCATGTCGCTTTGCCACTGTCTAAGGTGAATGCTACACCAGGGGGCTTTGCCTTGGGCTCTGCATTCCCAAGGACTCTTGTGGTCCCAGCAGTTCAGGGTTACACTGCAGTGGCACCTCCTCCCACTGCGTGGAAGCTGCTGTGGGCTTCATGGAGACATGGCAGGGAAGTACAGAGAACATCCACTGTGCATCACCACTGTTTTCAGGGGGTTTAGCAGTTATGCAGAAACAACAGTTCAAACATCTGTTTCTGATTTTTTTTTATCCTGAGATAAATGTGGTAAATCCGGCATGTTTGCTGAATAACCCACCTTCCAGAATGGGGTTGGCCTCTAGGATTTGCTGCTCTATCCAGGAATGCTGGCCACTGACAGCTGCCAAAAACTGCAGTATTAGCTTTGTGCTTTCAGTTTTGCCAGCTCCAGATTCTCCACTGCAATAAGAAACAAGATCATTACAGGTTTCCTTTATTTTTTTGGATAGGGTGGCAAAATGGCAGACCAAGTGGAAAAAAAAGTAACCCACTTAAATTTACCCTGTGAACGGCAGATCACACTTTCTTTCATAGAGGGCTAGAAAATTCTAGTCTTTCACCATCTTATCTGCTCAAATTTGTTTTTTAGACTTAGGCTGAGGACTAAATTCTCCCACTAATTAAAACCAAGCAAATCCATGGAAGACATTCTGTACCTGTGCAAATTAAATGACCACTTGCTTTTCTTCTTTGTTGCATTACTAGATTGTGAATGCTAGTCTTAGCACCTCGACTGAGTTGCCTCAGCTATAATCAGATATTACTGAACTGAGACTATCTAGTTCTTCACCTTGATGACAGAAAATGGATTGTTTATAGGATGAAAGCAAGCTTCCCTCCATCTTCAGGTTAGCAGAGGTTATTTCTCTCCAGGAAATGTCTGTTCTCAGGAACTACATGTAACAGAAATATCATGCCTCCAAGGTAAAAGATAGCCCTACATCACATAGGGTCATAGTTTATGTTTCCATATGTAGTGACCATGTGCAGAATGTGCAGCCACATTCAAAGATTCTGGGGGAAAACAGTGGACTTCAGAGGTCCCTTTTGCGGCCTAAACTGAAAATGAAGAAGCAAGGGAGAAATATTTCCTTCCTGTTGTCTATAATCTTGTCTGTGCCCTTCCATTTGGAAAGTCTGCTTTCTCCACAAAGGCTCCCCAAAACCATGCCAGACTTGGTTTCTGCTATTTGTCCTCTCGGTCCAGTCACCTGATCACACAGCACTGGTCTCTCCTGTTCCTCTTCATATTGAAGTAACAGTTGTCTGCAATGGCAAAGACATGAGGTGGTAGCTCTCCAATCCTCTTGTTACAGTACAGCCTGATCTGATCCACTGTGTAGAGGGGCAGCAGCTGGTATGGATTCACTGCTACCAGGATGGATCCCGTGTAAGTCTGCAAAACAGTTGTGAGCGTTACTGCTGGCAGCAAACCTGCAAACAAGAATACAACAAAGCCACTTGCTGTATAAATCTCAACAGAGGCAGGAGGGGAGCCTGGGAGATCATAACAACACTAGGTGAAGCTGAGAGCCCAGATCCTCACTAGGTGCTGCTGTTAAAATTTTAGGATATGGAGGGTTTTGCCCAAGGAAGAATGCTGGGTGTAATCTCCTTGCCAAAACACACCTTGGGGCTCTGTCTCAAGCTGAAGTGCATGGAAGTCCAATTTGACCTGGCATTTTTGTGTTATCATAAGCTGTTTGGCCATGTTTTGTTAAGCTGCTTTTGTATTCTAGTGTAGATGTAGCTGAACTTTGCTAGTGGGCTAAGTTATACTTCTGCTATATATACACAGGGATTTAGTAACATTTTTAAACAGCACCACTGTTGAAATGAAGGATGCTGTTGAAGGCTGTGGAGACACAAGGCAATATTATTGTTCAAGAACTACATAAGACAACTGCAGACTGCTAGAGTCAAATACAACAGGTCTTCACATACACCTTGGTATTTATAACTGCAGCATCTATAAAATCAGTCCTTGTTTACTCTAAACATCACCACACCTATCTTGTAAGAGGCAGCTTCTCTCCTGTAGTGTATATAACATGGGAGGCAAAGCATGGAAAAACCTGAATATTAATTATCATATTACAAATTGGAAACTAAGAAACAAAGAAAATAAAAATGCCAGATTGCTCAGTCACAGATAAAACCTGTAATGGGCAAAATATCTGGATTTGTTCTCATCTATTTTATTAATCAAAATCAAGTAAATGTTGGCTTGGACTGGAGGACAGCCATGTCACTGTGTACTAGTTGGACTGATCCTGCAGGTAAGAGCAGCTCTAAGCTCTAACACAGGCTAGATTTAGCTCACTGTCAGTGACTGGTGGAAATGATCACTCGAGGAGAAAGTCAGCAGGGTCACTACCTGTGCACAGAGTTGTGACTGCAGAGTCTGCTCTTAGCTCTCTTCTTCACAGCCAAAGTACTCAAATGAAAGAAGAGAAAAACTGTGTTGTGTCTCCTTGGCACCCTTGATCAGTAAAGGACTCAGAGGGCTGCATGTGTGAAAGGCTCTCAGGCTGCTCAGGTCACCCACTAAGTGTGACATGGAGGTCACTCCTCAAAGCGACCTGGCCTGGTGACTGTGGCACTCACATAGATTTTGTGCTCCTGGTGTCGGATGAAGAGGTTGTGCACCATGCCAGCTTCG